TCAAACACAAGGAGAGACACTGTTTGACCTGGCGACCCCCATCATCAAATCAACGCTGGACACAAATAGACCACATAGCAATAAGCTATCGTTGGCGTGGGTCGGTAGGAGATTGTCGCTCCTTCTGGAACACGTGTGTAGATACCGATCACGCACTGGTCCGCGCTCGTGTGTGCTTACGACTGAACGGACGTAGGAAACAGCGAGCGGTAAACCCATCACGTCCCCAGCTCGACCAGGGAACTAAGTCCCTATTTGAGGAAGAACTAGCTAAACACATATCTGAGTTTGACAGCTGCGCTCACCCTGAAGAAGCCTGGAAGAATATTCAGTCAGCCATAGATACAGCTGTAAAAGCTGTGAATAAGGTAATTCCAAAGGTGAGTAAAAACCACTGGATTTCGACTGCCTCATCCGAACTGATAGATGCTAGAAGACTTATTCCGGCGAGCTCCGAATTCAATGAGGAGCGAAAGCTGCACAAGAGGAAACTTACGAAAAGTCTCCGCAAGGACCGTGAACAGTGGTGGTTGACTAAGGCGAAAGAGATGGAAAAAGCATCGGCGATAGGCAACACCAGACAACTATTCAGGCTTATCAGGGAAACAGGTGGTAAAAGGCAAATGATAAGCGAAACAATCTCCGAGAAAAATGGCACCATAATTAGCTCCCAGGATAGACGTCTGGAGCGCTGGAAAGAACACTATGAGGAGCAGTTTAATTGGCCCACAGCCACACTTAACCTACCGGACATCCAACACCTCCCTGAATGGGATATAGACACAGGTCCTCCGTCCCTAACTGAGGTTACTAAAGCTGTCACCAATCTGAAGCTAGGCAAAGCAGCAGGACCTGATTTATTGACTCCAGAGGTATTTAAGTACGGAGGCGACAGTTTACTGTCTGCGTTAACGGAGGTTCTAGGCAGCGTCTGGGAATCAGAGGAAGTCCCATCGGGTTGGTGTAAGTCACTGATCATCCCGATATACAAGAAGGGAGACAAGTCGTCTTGTGATAATCACAGAGGGATTAGCTTGACTAATATAGTATCTAAAATCCTAGGCTCAATAATACTGCGTAGACTAAGTGGTGCTCGGGAGACACAAACACGAGAAAACCAGGCAGGTTTTAGGCCAGGTAGAGGGTGTATTGATCACATCTTCACCCTTCGACAGATTCTAGAACATAGGCATTCCTACCGGCGTCCGACAATCATTATATTTCTTGACCTAAAGGCGGCATTCGATTCTGTCGACCGGGAGGTTCTCTGGCGATGCTTGGCTGTAAAGGGAATGCCAAGAAAATACATTGCACTGATTAAGGCACTCTACTCGTACTCATGCAGCCAGGTGAGGGCTTATGGCGAGTTGTCATCTGAAGTGGTGACGACTAGTGGCGTCCGTCAAGGATGCCCATTATCCCCATTCCTATTCAATTTCATCATAGATGTACTAATGGACTTAACCCTAACTCACTTCAGCGACTCAGGGATTGACTTGCTACCAGGGAAGAATCTCGTTGACTTAGAATATGCGGACGATATAGTCCTTCTAGGCGAGGACTCTGACAAAATGCAGAGTCTACTGAACACCCTGAGCAACAATCTCCGCATGTTTGGCATGCGATTCGCCCCTATAAAATGTAAGATGATGCTGCAGGATTGGACTTCATCGACCCCTAGATTAGAAATAGGAAGGGAAGTGGTAGAACACGTTGACCGCTTCAATTACTTGGGAAGTACCATCAGCCCCAACGGGTTGATCTCCGACGAAATTTCAGCACGAATACAGAGGGCTAGGTTCGCATTCGCCAGTTTTCGCCGTCTCTGGCGTAGACACGATATCCGACTATCGACCAAAGGGCGTGTGTACTGCTCAACAGTCCGCTCCGTCCTCCTTTATGGCTGTGAGACCTGGCCATTGAGAGTGGAAGACATGAAAAGATTAGCTGTCTTCGATCATAGGTGTCTGCGTTCTATCTCCCGCGTGAAGTGGTATAATAAGGTGAGCAATATTGAGGTTAGGCGTCGAGTGCTAGGTAAGGCGGGGAAATCAATCGACGAGACTGTGAAATTACTTCGACTGAGATGGTTAGGACATGTGCTACGTATGCCTAGTCATCGCCTTCCTCGACGGGCAATGTTAGCTGATATAGGGTCAGGCTGGAAAAGAGCTAGCGGCGGTCAAACCAAAACATGGCACCAATCAATGAAATCCACAACAGTTAATCTAAGTCACGTAGGAAGATGTAGACTTCCTGGTTGGGGCCCTCGGAATGGTAAAAACCAATGGTTGGAAACAATTGGTGACATGGCTCAAAATCGTTCTCAGTGGCGCAGATGCATCCACTCCTTGTGACTTATGATTTCCAATTAAACTTTTGTTCTCCGTTAATACTATTCCTTAGTCTCACACCTCTGTTTACTGTCTATATTATGCATTTCTTCTACTTTCTTCTCTTGCTTTGCGTGCTACATAGATTGTGGCGACTTGAACTGCCGCACATATGTGCAAAGTTCTATGTCGAAAACAGACAGACAGACAGACAGATTTACTCGAGAAGTTGCATCAGCATTAATGTAGTGATTGCTGACGAAATCTCAGCATGGATATGGAGGGCTTGTGTACATTTGTGAAATGAAGTTATCCCTGGTGTAGACGTGATGTCTGGCTATCGACAAAAAGTATGTACTGTTCAACAGTTCGCTTTTTCTCTCTTCATGACTGTAGGACAGAACCGTAAAAAGAAGAGGATATGAAAGGATCATCTGTGCGTAGTCATGATTGTTTGTGTCCTGTCTCCCTTGTTAAATGGCATAATATTATAACTTATATTGAGGTTGGGTGTAGAAAGTTAGGTGATAGAGGCAAGTCAACTGCTAAAGTTGTGAAGCTGCATCGATTGAGATAACTGGGACACGTGTTACACATTCGAGGCCGTCATCTTCCCTGTCGAGCAATGTTAGTCGACATAAGATTAGATTGGAAGAGGGTTATTTGTGGTGCAGTCGAAACCTGACATCAATGCTTGAAGCCTTTGACTAGTGGTTTGAGTCACGTAAGGAGATATAAACTGTCTGGCTGTATTCCTGGAGGTGGAAAAGAGCAACGGTTTGAGAGTTTTGGTGACATGGCCCAGTTAAATGTGTAGTTGCATTCGCTGTTTGTAATGTCTCATTCATTAAATTTTTATTATTTCTTATGGAATTATTCATTCTTCTGCAAATTTCCTTTCACCATAGGTCCTTTTTCGCTTCATTTGGAGGGTGGCAACTAATACTGCCACACTTTTTTCGTAAAGTTTACCTTCGAAGACACGAACAGTCTCTAAGTGAGAGTGTGAATTAAGTGCTATAGGTGTTCTTATCCGAAAAACTGGCGAATATATTAAATAATATCAGGATGAAGGGATTAAACCTGTTAAGAATTTAACTTTGCTACATGCAGTTTTCCTTTGGAATATGGCTCACTTGCAACATAGAGTATCCTTGTATGTGCATATTTATTTGTTTTTGATAATTGAGTTTGTGCAAGTCAATCAGCGATCTCCAACGAATAAAATGTGATTCCGTCTCATAAAACAGAAACTTATTTCAGACCAGAAGAACGCTGGGAATATGCTTACAGTTTTTGTGTCTAAGAAAGCACAAAATTAAATTGTAACTGAGTTCCAAGATAATGTTTACCCGTATCGACAGTGACTCCTCTTATGTTTATGACTTAATTCAGCAAATGGATAGCTTGTGCTTCCACTCTCTGGAACAAAATCCCTGACAGTTAAGCTGAGTCAGGTAGGGAGATGCAGACTTCCGGGTTGGGGCCCGCCCTTGGGACTCTAAGAATCAATGGCTGGAGACAATAGGTGACATGGCTCAAAATCGTTGTCAATGGCTTACGCAGATGTATTCAGTCTCTGTAATCTTTCATATTCCTTTCTACCATTACTCATTCTGTTTCACTCTTATACTTGTCAAAACTCTACTGATTCTCTTCACTCATTTTCTTGTCTACCTTTGTGTGCGATTTGTAACGTGGCAACTCGAACTGCTGCACTTCGGTGCCAAGTTCTATGTTGAATCCAGACAGACTCTCTGGAACAATTCCATTCTGCTATTTCTTTAATATCAGTCCGTGTACTTTGGTTAGTAAACACCGCGAAACTCACTAGCTTCTTTGTAGTTTTAAGAAATTAAGCAAGTGAATATTTTTTAAATTTTATTTTGATTTACAGCCTGATTCCACACCGTATTTTCAGTACAAGTATGGAATTTTCAGCGTGGATATCGGTAGCCCAAATTTTGCAGGCCGACCATAGATATCGGGTGTGCGCCGGCAGGGGATCGAAGCCCGGACCATGTGCATGGTCGGCGAGAGTCCTAACCACTGTGCTACCGACGCGCTTCTGCAAACGGTAATACATATATGCTAAAGAGAAATATGAAGTATCAGAGGTAGTTTTCTATGTTGAGCTTTAGTTAATGTCCTAGCGTGTATTGACTAACAATTTAGAAATGCAGAACAGCTTCATGCTTTCGTTATGATTATCTAATATCCTTGCGACGGTGATAGTATTTATATCTAAATAGCATATTGTCATAATTTTTCACTAGTTAGTTTCTATAGATATTTATCATTTGTGCAGGAAAACGTTCTTCCGCGACATCTCGTTACACAATAAAACTAAGTGCCTTATTTTCTACTACGGTCACACGAATGTCCTCATGTAGAGCAGTCACTAGCTGGTTGGTGAAAACTGAGTCCACTGAATGTTTAGTTTTAGTCGCGGGAATACATTGGCATTGTGGTTTAGTAATTCTTGACAAAAAGAATTCGCTATCAGGCTTCAGATGAACATAGTTGTTTTAGACCTGGTGACTTGCAATCAATGAGCGTGACATTACATTACAATTAAAACTTGAAAGGGTGAATTAAATGTGAACTTGTTGATGTGAAGAAATTTTAACTTAATTGAATTTCATTTTATATTTATCACATTTTTAGAAAATATTGAAAATGGGGAGGCAATAAATGACAATCAGCATTTGTGTGAACTGTCAAACCATGTAGTCAATGATACAGTACCTACTAACAGTCAAACGAGTAGTATATGTGAAACGCTTACACCAAGTACTTCCACCTCAGAGGAAGCATGGAAACCATTAAGTCAGAAACACAAACTGAGATCTATAGAATCCCTTTGTGAAGTTATGCTTCTTGATGGTATTCCTATACCTTTCACCAATGAAAACACGGATTGTGTTGCCTGTAAACTAAGAAATCACGTGCAAACTGAAACGGTAATTAGGATGGTTTGTGCAGCGTGCCCAGAATTTCCTCGGCTTTGTTCAGCACAGTGTTTTCGATGGTGGCACAATGTTCATTTACCGGCACTCCGTAACAAACCAAGAACAATAATCGAATCCGAGCAAACCGGTACAACGATAATGGAATCAAATAACCAAGTGATGGTTTCAGAATTCCAGGTACTAGACCAATCAAGTGAATTAAAAGCGCCTGAGAAATCAGTTCCCCAACCTTGTACAGCATCCGTACGTCGGCTTGTCGGAAAAAGAAAACGACGTAAAAGATTCCGATATTCTAAAGTGAAAAGGAACGTAATACCAGTCTGGCCTAAAAGTAAATCCCGTCGTCCATCGGAAAAAACGCTATGCTAATTCTGATGATCCAGAATGGAGACCCGACAGGGGATTTATTGGAAAAGTGGATGTAAATAATTAACAATAATTTCTTTTTAAAATACACAAATGTGATTCAACAGAGCATATATACACAATATTTTTGTATTTTTCCCCCATTCACATCAGGGTTTAATATCACAGGCTGATGATTATTCTTGGAAAAAATTTTCGTTCACAATATACCGTATACACTGCATAAGTTGATTACGTTCTTTACGAATATCTTCTGCCAACAACTGAAATAATTTGCAACAATATAGAACAAATAAACACAACTGAATCACACAATAATCTAATTACGAATTAAGTTTTTACAAGGTGAAGATAAATAAAACATAACAGGCAGTTAGAAATCTTGAGTATTTTAGACAACATACAAGTTTACTTAGTAAACCTTTGAATTCCACCTACTAAAGCTGCCTATGAATGTAATAATATCGGAAATGAATAAATAGGACTTTCATTTAAGAAAGCATTAAATTGCGATGATTAATTTTAATATGATGAGATACTAATATTAAATTAGTTGTGCAAATAAGCAGTGGTGTAGCTGACTAGATAGCCCACCCGACTTTTATTCAGTCGACCACGGGTTTGAATGTCCCGCCCCCTCACCGCACCTGCTACCTAGATATTGCAGTTAGGTGATATTGTGGTTTGTCAAAAGTCTAGATCGGGCTAATTACTAATTAGATTAACATGTACTTTGATTGGACACTAGTAACTAGTGTGATGCGTCTCGTCCTTTTTTGGTGCAGAATGAATTCGTTCAGTTAGGTTTGTAATGTGGCCACCATTCTAGGTAGCTCGCCATCACGGTGAACATTGATTTGATGACATTAGATGGTTGGAAGCAATCGGCAGGAAGTCTTAGGCCTAGGTATCGTTCTAGTTGGTACTTGTCATCAAAGGCGTATTTACAAACTTGAAAGAACTTATGTCCCTTCTGAAGTTTTAACTAGCGCCACCCAGTGCTGCGGTCAGAGACGTTACCACTGAACTATTCAGGCTGGCGAACGACCTCCTGTAGGAATGTATTGGATACTTTGATTAGACATTAGTTAGTAGCTTGTTTAATTTGTTCAGTCTTTTCTTTGGTGCAGACTGAATTCTATTGTCAGTCAAGTTTCCAATGTGGCCATTATTCAAGTGGGCTCACCATCACGATGCACTGTGAATAGTTGATAATAGATGGTTGGAACCAATCGGCCACAGGAAGCCCTACCTGACTTAGGTCTCGTGCTAGTTGGCACTCACCAGTTAGCAGGGCATATCTGCACTCACCTTGAAGGACCTCATGTTCCTTCCGGAATTCGAACCCGTGTCACCCAGTTCTGTATTTATTGTGGATTTCGAAAGAATCTCTTTTGTGAAAGATACAGGAATGTCGACATCGATGTTTCGTCCAATAAGCTCTTCGAATATAAAGTCTACTGTTTCCATAAGTGGTACATTAATTAGTTAACAAGGTAGATATGCTAAACGGTGACATGAATTTATTTATCTTTTATCCTTTCAACAGATGCAAAGGTGTCTTATACGCTCTGTTTCACCAATTCAGGCTTTAAGAGTTAAACCGAACATTTGGCCATAGAGTGATGTATGTATATATAATTGTAGAGCTTGAAGAGGAATTTGTCAAAAAGAATGTCCTTTGCTTTGTTCAAGGTTGCAGATGCGCCTTGCTGATCTTGTTTTCACATGACTACTATTTGAGACATAAACATTGATGTCAATTACTGTCTACCAATTTGGCTAGCAGTCATCTCTCACCACACCTCTATAGATATTCATAACTTGACAGATTCTCGTTATTCATAATCTAACGGTACATCGATGGTTCAGCTGTAGAGAATGCTCGTCAACCACACGGAAGATCTAGGTTTTGATTCCCGATTGATGCACTCCTAGACGTTGGCTAGTATACAAGCCGGTAACGAGCATGTAAAAGAGGAAAGTTTTAGCGAGTGACTTGCAACCATACGCTGTAGAAACAACATCACACCTGCTGAATATTCAAAGCTTGAAGCCATATGTTCCACTCGGAACGCAAAGGAATAAGAAAGTCGTCGAGCGACAATTTTTGTATGCTATCCAGTTATCCCTTCAATAGCTGGCTAATATGCATCGTCTCGTCAGTTTCGCACGTTTCGGTCTTTGATGGGAAAAGGGCACACTGATCACTGAATCTCAACTCAGTTTTTGGTACTGCACCTGGTGAAGAAAGTATGTAGACTTATCGGATACCAATTTGAAACAACTGGTGGTCGTCTTTCTATTGTACTGTGGTTTACTGACAACTGATCTTTCGTTAATAACTTTGACCATAAAGCAGAAATGCACTAAGACCAGTAAGCATATTTTAGCGTCATAAGAACACAAGAATAATGAATTCAAAGTCTGAAAATTCTTTGCTGGTTTTTATCCTGTTAAATATGAGTGAGACGACGTTCTTCTCATATAACACGAAACCTACAACCATTTATTGTCAGCCGTTCACAGTGTATCGTGATGGCGAGCCCACTAGAATAATGGGAACAATGGAAACTTGACTGACGATAGAATTCAGTCTGCACCAAAGAAAACACTAGACAAATTAGACAAGCTACTAACTAGTGTCCAACCAGAGTAGTCGACACTTTGTTTGATCAGTAGAGCTTAAATGCGTGGTTAACTAGTAAATTGGAAAAAGAATGCATAAATCACTGCAGGCCACTAAGTCTTCTAGTGGTATTAGCTTTTGTGTTATATTTAAAGGTCAGTTATTAAGAATTCGAAGTCTAATCCATAAGGCAGCTGAGCAACCTCAGTAGCTGCGTTCACATGCTTATCAGCCAGTAAAGCTAGTTTGGCATAAAACTAGCCTTCTTCTTCACTTCGCGTCCGCAAATATTATTGAAGTGTTGGTGATTTGCAGGCATTTTATTTCTTTAAGGATTTCATCATCAGCTAACATCGGATAACGAAGCACTGGAAAACATTAGAGTACTGTTTCGTCCTAGTTTGGGACTCTTCAGCTCAATGGTCTACGGATTCGCCATGTAACCGGAAGCTCCTGAGTTCGAACCCCGGTGGGTGCGTACTGTAAACAGTCCCAAACTAGGACGAAACAGCCATCCAGTACTCCCAGGTTTTCCAGTGGTTCACAAACCGATGTCATCTTATGATGAAATCCTGAAAACAATATTATTATTATTCTGTGGCCAAACTTTACCACAGCATTCTGTTGACCCTCCATAGCGCTTCTACTCGTGTCTTGAGAGCACGAAATTTGACTTAAGTCTTGTGAAAACACTTAAGCCACAGGAAGGAGGCGGACAGTTGACTTCAACGAAAACAAGTATTGACAAACTTCTCTATGAAATGACTTGCAGAAGAATAGAGGAACCTGTTTAATGACAGGAAAAACTAGGACATTGAAGAGATTCAAACTGAGACATTTAAAAGGATGCTTCCAACAAAGAATATTTTCTTTGCGATGAAGTCATCAACTAGGCTGTTCATTCGTGTATTTTTTACAAATAAGTGGAAAAGTTCCAGAATAAAATAAGATTACAATTAGGAATTAAAATGCTATAATAAACAGGGGGACAGATAAAACTCAAACAAGGTAGCATCATAATTACTGAGAAGATCGACATATTGTGCAATTAGTGGTTAGAAATGTAGAAATAACAAAAACAGACAGGATGTTTGGATAAAAACTCCAGTAGGATCATAACTAATGTGACGAATAATTGTTTATACAGTTAGAGATTAAATATGTAGAAATAATAAAATGACAAAATATACAGGAAGTTCGGATATGAAAATATGGTAGTGTAAATAGGGATTAGGAAAAACTGAATATAACATGAACAAAAGGGAAGTTTGGATAAGAAAGGTGATGGGATAGTCACTATTAGAAGAATTACCTGTTTATGATGGCCATGGCAGGAACAAGGGTTGGACGTATTCCTTTTGGGTACATAGCGTGGATTTGAGCTTTTGGATGGCTAGTGCCTTGGCTATGCCCAGATGTCTTAATTTTATTCCCTTTGATAGGTTTCATCGAATCTTGTATATTATTTTGAAGGATTTTTCTAATGGTGCTGAATGTTCTAAATTGACCAGATGTTCTGTCACTGAATTATATACACGTTTTCGTTCTCCTTTTACTAGCCAGGCTGGATGGTGTTTACGAGCGCGTCTTCCGAATTGGTGCATGGTACGGCCGATGTACTCAGCTCCGCAACAGCAAGTAAACTGATATATGCATGATGAAGTGGCCCAATATTGTTTTTGAAATTTATTATCATCAGATAGGATAACCGAGAGTTTGCTAAGGTAGTCTGATTTGTTCATCGATACGATATCGGAGCCTTTATCTGGCCGTGTCATGATCAAGTTTTCATTATCCTTCAGTTCTAAGCAAACTATCGGTGATACTATCTGATGATATTAAGTTTCAAAAACAGTCTTCACAGAAAGATCCCACCGAACAGACGGAGCTCTCGCTAACGAAGATATTTAAGAAAATGAAATACGAATCCATTATCAGTTCAAAACTATACGAACAACTGCGTCCATCTGGTTCTACAACGCCGCGCATGTACAGCTTACCTATAGTGCACAAACAAGACGTCCCACTCCGCTGAATACTAGATATGATAGATTCCCCATATCACTCCGTCGCAAAATGGCTAGTGGAGATTCTCGGGCCGGTGTAAGAGAAGCTGTCAAGACACAACCTCCGTGACACATTCGACTTTGTTGATTCAATTAAGAATGTCAACGTGGCAGAAAAGAAAATGGTCTCCTCGGATATCGTCTCTCTTCATCAACGTTCCATTGACAGAAACCGTATGTTTCCAATGTGACTACATTCAATTCAATAGCATCGATGTTGGTATACCGATCAATTAGCTAGAAGAACCGTTACTACGATGCACTTTCAACGTATACTTTAGATTCAACAACGAAATATACAGACTAGTAGATGGAGTAGCAATGGGTTCTCTCCCATAGTACCCCTCCTGGCCGACTGCTTTATGGCTAACCTAAAAACAACTCCTTATCATCAACTATAGACGACTTCCATCTCTACAAGAGATACATTGATGATACTTTCATCATTTGTGATGAGAACATTGACCTTGAAAACTTACTTCAAACCTTCAACAATGCCCACCAAGACATCAACTTTACTCTGGAAGCTGAATGCGACGGAATGTTCTACTTCCTCGACGTCCATCTGATAAGAAACGCCAACAACTCTCTGAAAAGGTCCATATACAAAAAGCCTACATCGAATGGACAGTTAATCAACTTCCGAAGCTTCGTGGCCCTAAGCAGAAAAAGGAACCTTACATACGCTCTTTCTTTAAGGATTCGGAAGATAAGCAGACCTGTGTAATCTCCGAAAAACCCTGATGTAAAACAGTTTCCCACCCAGGTTCATAGACGAGGATCTCAAATAAAAGAAGACTTCCGAACAAGTCCAATCCGCCCCGAAGAAAATACTTCTACTTAATCTAAAATTCAAAGGTGACATTTCAGCAGAGATCCTTCGTAAACGCCTCTGCAAATCTCTGGGGAAAACATACTTCACCGCGAGCCTACGACTGACGTTTTACTGCAAGAAAATGTTCAGACAGAACGCGAAAGACAAGCTGTCACATTGGGCCACTTCAACGTGCATATATCAGTTTACTTGCTGTTGCGGAGCTGAGTACATCGGCCGTACCATGCACCAATTCGGAAAACGCGCTCGTAAACACCATCCAGCCTGGCTAGTAAAAGGAGAACGAAAACGTGTATATAATTCAGTGACAGAACATCTGGTCAATTTAGAACATTCAGCACCATTTGAAAAATCCTTCAAAATAATATACAAGATTCGATCAAACCTATCAAAGGTAATATTGATATAAGTATAAAACTTGGGCACTGTGGTAGAGTGTAACTCCATTATGCATAAGATTTTATTTTGATAAATCACACAGTGTTACACAGTAATATTAACTGATGACGTTTCGAGCACAATTTATTGCTCATAATCATATCAAGGTATGATATGATATGATTATGAGCAACAAATTGTGCTCGAAACGTCATCAGTAAACATTACTGTATAACACTGTGAGACTTTATCAAAACAAAATTTACCCATAATGGAATTCATATTTGGAATAATTACAATATATCGTTATTACCAAAATCAAATGATAATTGTTGGTTTTCGTTTTTAGAAAATTATAAACATCACATAAAATAAAAGAGATGTACACTAACCATTTGTAGCAGTGTGGGTCGACTGTGTATACTATGGATACTACTTAGGCATTGTCGTCGTTTTGCTTGAAGTTTCACTAATGGATGCGATGCGAAAGGATCATTTTTAGAATCAGCATCCACTTCTCCTTCTTTATTGCTTGTAGATATTTCAACATCCCTGGTATTTTTATTTCTTTGTCGTCTTCCTCGCTTACGACGTCGGTTATCCAGCTTATCATTTGACTTGAACAAAACAGAAGAATGAGAACTTACTTTGAAAAACTTCGAAAGTTAACGACATACTTAAACAAGACTTAATTTGATTATTTAAAAACTCCATACGATATCATTGGAAAAGTGGTGGTTTATGAATATACTACTTATTTCCCTTAAGACCGTTTGGCTAACTGTACATTAATATACCTTACAGGGACATTCAGCCTTCATAAACTAAACTGCGTATTAACTTCGGTGCAGAAAAGTAGCAGTTAGGAAACATGTCTATTTCAGTATTTAGATGGTTAGCACCACTCAGTGTGCAGATGAGATATTCGATTGTTGAGCGGTACTGTGAATCCATTGGGCTCTGTTGTGCTATATAAATCTATAAGATCGGAGAGTGCGGAAGGTTTACATGTTTGGAAGCCTTCATCTGCTTAGCATCATTTCCAATGTACGGTGGTGGTGGTGGTACTACAACCATAAAATATACGCAGCAGTTAGATATGAAGTTTTGGGTATAAAAGCTCTAAGTCACTCATTTAAAATACAATACGACCATTTAGTATAATGATTGGGCAGTCTATCACAAATGTCTGTATCCAGCTCATCAAATAAAAGCACTGTATCAGCTGAAGTACAATAAAGTTGAAAAAGAGATAATAAGTAAAACGAATATATTCAACTATGATAGTAACAACCTAACTGTCTGCCTGTTTTCGACATAGAACTTTGCACCGATGTGCAGCAGTTCAAGTCACCACACTCCATGTAGCACACAAAGCAAGAGAAGAAAGTAGAAGAACCGCAAAGTAGAGACAGTAAACAGAGGTGTGAGACAAAGGAACAGTAATAACAAAGAACGAAACAGTTTAATTGGAAATCATAAGTCACAAGGAGTGGATGCATCTCCGCCCGCCGTTGAGAACGATTTTGAGCCATATGACCAATTGTCTACAGCCATTGGTTTATATCATCCCGAGGACCCCAACCAGGAAGTCTACATCTTCCCACGTGGCTTAAACTAACTGTGGTGGATTTCACTGACTGGTGCCATGTTTTGGTTTGACCGCCACTAGCTCTTTTCCGGCCTGACCCTATGTCAGCTAACATTGCCCGCCGAGGAAGGCGATGACTAGGCATACGTAGCACATGTCCTATTCATCTCAGTCGATGTAATTTCACAGCCTCGTCGATTGACATCCCCTCCTTACCTAGCTCTCAACGCCTAACTTCCGTATTGCTCACCTTGTTATACCACTTCAGGCGGGAGATAGAAAGCAGACACCTATGATTGAAGACAACTGAACAGGCTTTTCATGTCTTCCACTCTCAATGGTTAGGTCTCACAGCCATAAAGGAGGACGGAGCGGACTGATGAGCAGTACACACGCCCTTTGGTCGATAGTTGGATATTACGTCTACGCCAGAGACAGTGTAAACTGGCATATGCGAAACTAGCCCTCTGTATTCGTACTGAGATCTCGTCAGAGATCAACCCGTTAGTGATAGAACGCTCATGATCAAGTATCCAAGGATCAAAGATGTATCACAGAAAAATTAGTCACCCACCACCAAACACAAAGGAGGCAAAAGGCACCTTCTGTGATATATATAAATATACGCCCTGTAGACAATCGATTGAAATGCAGCTTACCTTCTGTACTGATTCTGTGGTTGTTTCTTTCGTATCACATACAGTTGTATCTTTAACAGGAGAATTTGCACTATCTGTATTCTCACTATCATAATCCATAGGAACTAAGCGTACTATATCAGATTCTTGGCTAGCATTATCTGTTGTTGATAAATCATCCACTGCATGTGATTCTGTTGGCTTAGCATTATCCTTACCGGCTGAAGATGGGGTCTATGGAATAAAAAGAAATAATACTGTGAATAATGAAATGTTACAGGAACAAGTGTTGAGTATCTGAAAATACAAACAACACAACGATAACTATTACAGTATGAAATTTGACAAACTTCATTTCAGACGAAGGAAAAAACAATTAATTTAGTTCCAATAAGTAGTAAGTATTTTATTTAAAAAAATCATTTTCTTTCCCAGTGAAACATGTTGTGGTGAGTTCTACTGATAAGATTTATCAGTAGTATGTAAAGAGACGTTCATCGCCATTAAAAGACACCAAACAGTAGGGAGATACATTTGATTTCACAGAAGGCAAATGATACAGCGTTGTGGAGATACATGTGAGACGTGGAAGCAACACAAAGAAACACAACATGAAGTCACGGAATATACACATTTGATCACAGGGAATTATAAAAAGACGGTTGCAGCGAAGAAAATTTTCTTTTTGACGAATTCATCAACTAGGCTGGTTGTACATTCGTATATTTATAGTAAATGGGTGAGAAATTTCGAGAACTATTTCCGGTCAAAGGTCAAATTAATAAAATTACAAAGTGTAATAAATATGAAGGTCGGATACAGAATACATAGTAAGGTAGACAGGTTGTAGTATTATCCTAGAAATGCACAACATGAAGTCCAGAAGTAGCACCAAACGAAGATCTGTGCAAATGGTGCATTGAAGATAAGGTGTAAATAATTTGACTATATAGAGATACCAAATTGCCGATAAACATTCCTTTATGAAGTTTTCATCTTCTACCGTTTCAATATGGCTGCAAGCTAGAGCTTCAAAATTTCGCTGGCAGTGGTGTTTTTACGGGATGAGGTTGCTAGCCTCACACCCAACCTTAATAATAATAGCTTTATTTTAAAATGTACTTTTGGTACAAATATGGAATTACCAGCATATAGTAGTGTGGTGAGAGCTGGCTGCTAGCCAAAGTTGGTAGACAGTAATTGACATCAATGTTTATGTCCCCAATAATGGTGGTGAGAAAATGAGAACAAAGGCTTTGCATAGGCGGATACAGTTAGCATATGAATGATCTGACACAGCCACAAAGAGATGCAAGGTTAACTTTCTGTGAGAAACAATCAATCAAAAGACTGTATTTTCTACTGACAACAATCTACAATAATGTACATTAAAATCTATAAATATGTGTTGATTTTCCTTAATAAACGATCTGTTGCCTGGCCTTTGTCTTCCGTTTTTACAGTAGTACAGTACAGTATTGCATCTAATACTCTCATTGCAGGGGTAATAATTAAAACAGGTCATTTACATTAATAATATTGTTCAATAAGAAAATGAATATAAAATTTAATTTGCACCACCCCTCACCCTACTGACAGCTATTAGTGCCCTTCGTAGCATAACAAATTCTACCTTAAGTAGCCCGGGAAAGATAAACGGGGAGCAGTGAACACAGATAGGGAGAATAGATGAATTGAAAAAAAACTGTAACAGTAGAGACTGAATGGTACCAGGTCGTCTTAACTGCCTTACGTAGGACGTCAAACGAAATATCATTCTAGAAACTGATATGATGTGGGAAGATCAGGAAGGTTGATTCGAGGAAATACACAGTCTAAGGTATTTAACATTCGATTTCGTTCCAACTTCTATGCCATCGACGTTAGTGGAACCCTGCGTGAACTAACCAGTTCATGTCAGTTGCTCTTTTGTTTGAAAGTGAAATTAACAACCTGACTGGCATTTAAAGGGATTAAGCTTAAGACCTCTTTACCGGGATTATTACCGGCAAAGTGAGGTAAAAGTATGCGTCAGTCAGGGATCGAAAACCGGACCCCTTGCGTGGTTGCCCAGTGTTGTACCACTAAGCCAACAACTAATAAGTAGTAAGTGTTCAGCTTTAATTTGGACATGGCCGAAACGAAATGCGGATACATTCAACTGAATAGTAAGTTCTACATTTCAGTTATAATATGTGCTGCTCAAATAGCATTCCTCGACCGATTTAGAACTGATGTGTCTATACAGGATTATTGATATAAGTATAAAACTTGGGCACTGTGGTAGAGTATAACTCCATTATGGATAAGATTTTATTTTGATAAGTCACACAGTGTTACACGGTAATAGTAACTGAAGACTTTAATTCATCTCATCCGTTAACTGTTAAGGCAGGCTTAGTTAAGTGTCTAACAAACCGAGCAGTAGCGTTGGTGTTAAATGACTATCTTATAAAATTCATTAGGAAGATGGAAAAAGCCCAAAAACAAAATAAAAATAATTGTGAAACTAGTAATGATAGCATAAATAAGAAAGAATATAAGTCGTCTACTGTTATACCATATAACGACGGCACATCTGAGACCCTAAGAAGGATTCCTAATAAAGCAGGAATTAGGATGGCATTCAAACCTACAAACTCACTCAGAGACAAGCTCTGTAGGCTAAAAGACCCGGTAAATCCAATTAAACAAAATAATAGAATTTACAAAATACCCTGCAATGACTGTGAGGTCAACTATATAGGTCAAACTAGTAGATCGGGGGTAATCAGATTGGTGGAACATAAGAATTTGGCTAAGGTAGGAATGGTTGACCCCGCGAAGATAAGTAATTTAGAAAAAAGCTCAGCAATTGCACTACATGCATTAACCACAACCACACAATAGGATGGGAGAGGGTTAAGATTCTAAGAAGTAATCTGTATAGGTGGAGAGAGACTGATTACTGAATCCTGGTTCATTGAGTCTACACTCAACACATGCAACAGAAATAACTCAATGCAAATACCAGAAATATGGAAGATATTATTACCGCCAGAGGATAATAAAAAATCTCAAAATTCTATTTCAATTCAAGCACATCACAAAATTCTAACAAGTTACTTTTTATGACTAGAAAAAACACTCGTCTTATTTACCATCTGATTGTAATTAATCAATAACACTCATATTATTATTACTGAATGTACTTTATCTTATATTGATTTTTATTCAAATATCTAATCATCATGCAGTAAGGTAACATGAAAAGTATGGTATTAAATGCGTCAACTGAATCATACTGAGTACATTTGTAATGTGAGTGGATATCACTTCAAAAACTAGTGTGCCTACGACTGACTGGTTCAGATGCTCGACTTCCAACCACCATTGGGTTACAGAGTCAACCCGGCTTCATCCACCGCACCAAGGTTTCGCCAACCATGTAATATAGTCAACCCACCCGTACACAATAGACATGGCTCAATACCAACTGAAAGTAGTTGCATAATAGCATAACACAATTACATCATGTCAAAACAGATTTAATATTGAACATTTGGAAACAGTAAGTGGGAATTCAGATCGAAGTAAAAGTGCTTACTGGTCCACATCCAGAACTAAATAAAGTTGACAGAAATTTCGAATCACTTTGGTTTGTAGTTGCAATTGGAATTCGTGTCAAGGTAGAATTTGAGCAGTGTGTTAGTATAATATAATTCTACATTAGATAAGTTTATCTGACATAAACAAACGGTAGAAGACGAAGACTTCGTAAAGGAATGTTATTATCGGCAATTTGGTATCTCTATATAGTCAAATTATTTACACCTTATCTTCAACGCACCATTTGCACAGATCTTCGTTTTGTGCTACTTCTGGACTTCATGTTGTGCATTTCTAGGATAATACTACAACCTGTCTACCTTACTATGTATTCTGTATCCGACCTTCATATTTATTACACTTTGTAATTTTATTAATTTGACCTTTGACCAGAAACAGTTCTCGAAATTTCTCACCCATTTACTATAAATATACGAATGTACAGCCAGCCTAGTTGATGAATTTATCGAAAAGAAAATTTTCTTCTCTGCAACCGTCTTTTTATAATTCCCTGTGATCAAATGTGTATATTCCGTGACTTCATGTTGTGTTTCTTTGTGTTCCTTCCACGTGTCACATGTATCTCCACAACGCTGTATCATTTGCCTTCTGTGAAATCAAATGTATCTCCCTACTGTTTGGTGTCTTTTTATGGCGATGAACGTCTCTTTACATACTACTGATAAATCTTATCAGTAGCACTCGCCATAATAATATACAGCTATTAATACACTGTTTCATCGTATTTTATATAAAAATAAATTTATCTAATATGGAATAATCATTCAAATTCCATTGAGAGTGTATAAGATTAGCATTGAGCACTATACAACATGCTCTAGTGTAGTGACATAATGTAGAAATGTACTCAAATCAAGACTAGGCTTTTGAAATGAAAATATTTCCTAAGTTAGAGGCAGAATTTTCAATATTTCAGTCACTATCTTATTAAGCATAGAATAGAAAGCAACCTCAGTCAGCCCCTGCTGTAACATTTTGTGAATACTGTCCATTCATTAAATTGCTTATGCCTAGAACTGTTTAAAGATGGTTATTAACACACTCTATGAAGATGATGACGATTAGATTGGTCATTGAAACTCCTCTAACAAACAAACCCACCGCATAAAATACACTGACACACACACACACACACACAATATACTAATGACAACCTAATGATTGCTGAGTTCATTCTGTACAATCTTACAGAATGTCATGCAAGGCAGTTCACGTCAGCTTGTAATAATTTAAAAAACAGATGACTCTAAATTTTTGAAAGGATTCCAAAGATATAGACATAATCTTTTTTAGTTAGTACCAAATACAAATCCTATGTTTATTATAATTATTATTATTCGTCTATTAAGTAAGTCTCCAGTAGAACATAGCAGTACGTCTCCACTGTATTCTGTTCCTTGTGGTCTTTTGTAGCTAGCTCTACGATTGCACATAGGCGTTTCTTTCCCTACACGATCTCCTCTATATCACCCTCGGATGCCTAGCTCCTCGCTCCCCACCGACGTTATACTTGAGGGCGTGTGATTTCACTCAACAGTCTTCTCAGTGTTTGTCTCCATTTCCTTCTGAATCTTTTTTTGGGCAGTAGGTTCTTGGCTAGTTTGTTGAGTAGTTGGACTTGGGAATAGTGCAGCTAGCTCGGGAAATTTGACCTAATCACTAAGGAAAATTCACAGCACAAGTATCTTTTTATTAACCACTAATTATTCAAACCTCCGACGATTTTCCTGATTGCGGTAGACTAGATAATGTGACAGACGACGGGCAACGAGGAAACAGGCACAAAATTGACCCACACAAAAAACACTTCGAGGATCTGAATTCCACCGATGACATATATATGTCTGATTTCTCACAAACTGGAGGATATGCAAGTGAAAAGCAACAAGTTGGCAGAAGAAGCATCAAAGATAGGACTTACTTCAGATGAACATAGAGAAAACAGCTGTGGTAATGAAGATTCCTGGCCAACAGCAACAGCTACAACAACCAGCCAGCATAAATGGGAGGAATCTGAAAGAAGCAACATCCTTCACCTACCTACCTACCTACCTGGGAAGCATCGTCGTTTCAACTACAGGCGGACGGAACTGATGAGGATATCAAAGCGAGGATCATCGAGAAAGCAAGGCAAGCTTTCGTTACTCTCAAGTCTGTGTGGAGATCAACAGCACTCAGCATGAAAAATAACATCAGCATTTTCAACTCCAATGTGCAGTCAGTGCTACTCACCATACGAATCAGAGACTTGGCGCAGCGTCGCGTCACAAAGGGCACTTCAAACGAACTACACACCTTCATCAACAGCTGTCTTCGCTCAAGATCAGATGGGCGGCCAGAAAGGATCTCTGGCAACGAACCAACCCAGCAGGAACCAATTGTGCAACAAATATGCAGGAAGAAATGGAGGTGGATTAGCCATACTCTGAGAAAACAAACCATCAAGTGAGTGACATCACACGCCAGGCCATCACTCGAGTGGAACCCGAATGGGAAGCGGCGAGTTGGTCGTCAGTGAAAGGTGGGTGACATGGAGGAGGTCATGTGAAGAGGAGATGAAAGCATGTGGGTAGACGTGGAGCTAGGTGGAAACGTTGGTGGAGAACCGAACGCAATGGAGACGTTCAGCTGAAGCCCTGTGTTCCTCTAGGAACTAAAGGAGATAATAATAATATAATAATTATTCAAACACATTTTTGTTTGAATGTTGAGTAAAAATTCAAATATGAGAAGAATGTCATCTCACTCATATTTAACAGGATAAAAACCAGCAAAGAATTGTCAGACCTTGAATTCATTATTCTTGTGTTCTTATGATGCTAAAATATGCTTACTGGTCCTAGTGTATTTCTGATATATGGTCAAGTTATTAAAGAAAGATCAGTTGTCAGTAAACCACAGTTGTTTCAAGTTGGTATCCGATAAGTCTACATACTTTCTTCACCAGGTGCAGTACCAAAAACTGAGTTGAGATTCAGTGATCAGTGTGTCCCTTTCCCATTAAAGGCCGAAACGTGCGAAACTGACGAGACGATGCATATGAGCCAGCTATTGAAGGGATAACTGGATAGCCTGAAAAAATTGTCGCTCGACGACTTTCTTATTCCTTTGCGTTCCGAGTGGAACATAGAGCTTCAAGCTTTGAATATTCAGCAGGTGTGATGTTGTTTCTACAGGGTATGGTTGCTAGTCACTCGCTAAAACTTTCCTCTTTTACATGCTCGTTACCGGCTTGTATACTATGCTAGCCAAAGTCTAGGAGTGCATCAATCGAGAATGAAAACCTAGATCTTCCGTGTGGTTGACGAGCATTCTCTACAGCTGAACCATCGATGTACCGTTAGATTATAAATAACGAGAATTTGTCAAGTTATGAATATCTATGCAGGTTTATCAACCAAGGGCAATATACTTTCTTAACCAAAAGAGTCTATTAGTCATCATAACGGGAACAATAACTAAAAAATATTACATCATTAAATACTACCTTATCAGGAGATATTGATTTTGATGATACATTGACAGAAGACTGACGCAGGACATTTGAATTTGGTTTATGCATAGACCTTAATAAAAATTTTAAAAGAAAACATAAAGGTATATTAGTCAATTTCAAACAAGAATACGGAAAGGAAATTATAGAAAATAAGCCAATAGAATAAATGCAATAAGGTCTCTTGATATAAGTATAAAACTTGGGCACAGTGGTGGTAGAGTATAACTCCATTATAGATAAGATTTTATTTTGATAAATCACACAGTATTGCAAAAATATTCATTCAGACCTATAAAACACAAAATAATCGAGCAAAGAATATTCTTTTCGATAAATTCCTCTTCCAGGCTCTACAATTATATATATATGTTTATAAACACAGAATATTTTAAATTAGTAGTTAATAACAATATTAGCGTTTTTTTTACTAATATCGATTTGAAAACTATGACCAATGCTATTGCAGTTCATTAAAGATGCTTAAATTATACTAATAATAAAGATATAACAGCGAATAGAATATCAACTAAAATTAGGGAAATTTCACAAAAATTATGGATTATTCAAACCTAGATGGCCAAGGTAATGATAATGACTGAACTAACTTCTTTTGGGTGCATAAATTTCGATAAATTCCTCTTACAGCCCCTTCATACTGAGTTGGTGAAACATAGTGTAAAGGATACATTTGGATTCGTTGAAAGGATAAGAGATTTAAATGTTGATAATAAATTCATGATATCATTTGACGTATCTTCTTTATTCACCAATGTACCTCTCATGGAAACAGTGGACTTTATATGTGAAGAACTCAAAAGACGAAACATCGAGATTGGCATTCCTATAGCTTTCATGAAATGTACAATGAATGTCCACTTTTTATTTAATAAGGAACTGTATAGACAAATCGACGGTGTGGCAATGGGGTCGCCACTAGGACCCATTCTAGCCGATATTTTCCTGGCGAAACTAGAAAATGGGCCTTTCAAAGATGTTACTGATGAACTTGAATTCTATTGTCGGTACTTGGATGAAACATTTTTGATTATGAAAAATGAGAAGGAAGCAAAGAACATCCTGGATAAATTTAACGATGTTCATCCTGCAATAAATTTTACTATTGAGAAAGAAAAAGACTCTAGTATTTCATTTCTAGACTTCCTTATGACCAGAAAAGAGGACGGCACAATAAGAAGTGTTTATAGAAAACCTACATCAATGGGCCAGTACACACATTTTCTCAGCTTTGTGCCCTTGAAATACAAACGCAATCTAATAAAGTGCTTGGACCACACAGCAAGAGAGATTTGCTGGGATGAATGTCTTGACGAGGAGCTTAACAATATTAAACGGTTGCTAAGTGAGAATGGTTATCCCGAAAAGTTTATTGATAAGAATATGAATCTAAAACCAAGTTACCAACAGTTCCAAAGAAAGCCTTGTTCTTACAGATACAGTTTCTAGGAGACAACACAAGTGAGATACTAACACATCGCCTCAGAAATGCGGTAAAAAGAGCATTGCCTGCTGCTCAATTACGCTGTATCTTCAAAACCACTCGTCTTCTGCGTTCGGGAATAAAAGACAAACTGCTTAATTTCGCCTCTTCCATGTGTATATACCAATTTAACTGCTCCTGTGGAGCCAGTTACATAGGCCGTACAATTACGCGTGTTTCTCGTCGAATTTCCGAACATCAACCTGCCTGGTTAAGCAAAGGTCAAACAAAATCTATTCGCAGCGCTATTCTGGCGCATCTTGTGGAGACAGAACACAAGATTGACGTTAATCATGCTTTCAGGGTCACTTACCGCATACCTACGAATCTCAATTTCGCTTTAAGAGTTCGACTTCTTTGACTATAAAAACACTCGTCTTATTTCACATTTGATTGTATTTGATGGATAACAATAATATTATTATTTCTGAATGTATATTATCCTATATTACTGATTTTATTCAAATGTCTAATCATCAATTCCACTCATGTATATAAATGAAGTAAAAAGTTGTGTGAGTAGTGACTTGATATGATTATGAGCGGCAATAGTTTGTGCTCGAAACGTGGTTATCACTTAATATTACTTACTGTATAACACTGTGTGATTTATCAAAATAAAATCTTATCTATAATGGAGTAATAAGGTCTAGCTAACCGTTATATATTGAAAATCTTTCAATCGACTAAGATAAAAATGCATTTACTCTTAATCCCCTTTTACAAAAAAATAACATTATTAATAAAAATGACGGAAATAACGAAGAAAATAATATAGAATTCAAAGCCTCTGTAGTACTGCCGTATAAAGAAGCAACGTCAGAGGCCTTATGTAGGATTCTCAATAAAACTGGTATTATTCAGGGTAGTATTTAAACCAACCAACCAACCAACTCTCTCAGAGATAAACTCTTTCGGCTCAAGGACTCGATGGATCCAGTTAAGAAACATAATAATATAATTTACTAAAAGCATGTAGTGACTCTGAGGTCAAATAAATAGGCCGTCCAAACAGTGATGGATACGGGTCAACTAGACTATTGGAACAGAAAAATGTAGATAGACCTAGAATGATTGACCCTGTTGAGTGAAATAACCTAGAAAAAAGCTCAGCTATTGTGCTGCATTGCATTCACTTGCATGTTATCACAAAATGGGAGGGGGGGGACAAGGCGGAAGTATTAAAATGTAAAACAGTTAGGTGGAAAGACAGAGAGGTTAATCACTGAAGCTTTGTTTATCAATTCAAGACCATGCACGTGAAATCCGAATAACGCAACGTGCCTATACTGGAGATATGGAAAGTGACAACAAACAACGAGGTTAAGTTGGAGAGAAAGAAAGAGAGAAATTTGAATTCATGGGCCATTGGATCGGATCTCAATGGCTTAATGGTCTACAAGCTCCCCCTGTAAACAGAAAGTCCTGGGTTCGAACGCCGTGGGTGCGTACTCCTGAAGAGTCCCAAACTAGGACGAAACGGCTGATTTGTACTCCCAGGTTTTACTATGTTTCTCTAATCGATGTCAACTCATGATAAAATTCTGTGAGAAAATATCTATAAGAGAAATTGTGAAACTGCGTGACTAAATTGAAATGATTATGAGTTGCAATAATTTATGCTCGAGACCTTGTCATCTAGTTGTTAATACGGCATTGTTTCTAATATAGTTCCCCTTGTGAGGATCCATGTGTTGTTTGAGATGCAAAATCATTCGTAAGTTTTTTTACAGCTAAACTACTTCATATGTGGACTAAACAATGGATCCTACATTTAATAAAAAATTACTGAACGCTGAAAAAAGATGCTTGAAAAGCTTACCCGAATTTAGGTGTCTCAAATATCTGTCCTCTTTCTATACGTCCTTCGACAAGTTTCTTTTTAGCTTCAACTCTTTCCAAAGTTGGGTAGTTTCTGTGAAAGAGGAAGTAAATAAAGCACTAAAAATGAAACAAAAGCAATTTTTTATCTGTTTATTTAAAAAAAATCAAATTAAGAGAAGAAATATGCACTCCTTCACTTGAATTAGTTTCTCATCATCAGCTGACTCTACAGTAATATTTAGCTTTTCACATCAAAATTTTACGTAATATGTATTAAGTTTTTCAAAACGATTTTTTTCCCTGTCCTTGCAGGACAAGTTCATTGTCGAATTTCTGAACACCTGCTTTCTTGGTTTGACAAAGGTCAGAATAAAGCTGCTATACAACGCAGATGAAATAATAGTGCATGTTGTCGATACTAGCTGGGCATCAAGTTGACTCTAACAAAGCTTTTAAAGTTATTCATCGTATATCACCTGACCCCTCGCATGGTCTACGAGTATGACTTTTGCATACAAACATACATACATAAAGGAGAGGCAATCGGAATTCATCTGAACAAGCCAAATCTATGTGTTCGAAAGTAATGTGTGCAGTCCCTTTCTTTGCCATTATTATTATTATTTCCTTTAGTTCCTAGAGGAACATAGGGCTTCAGCCATGCGTCTCCATTGCGTTCGATTCTCTGCTAAAGTTTTCACCTGGCTCCAGGTCTGCCCACATGCTTTCATCTCCTCTTCACATGATCTCCTCCAGGTCACCCTTGGACGACCAACTCGCCGCTTCCCTTTCGGGTTCCACTCGAGCAATGGCTTGTCTAGTGATGTCACTTGATGGTTTCCTCAGAGTTTGGCCAATCCATCTCCATTTTTTCCTGCCTATTTGTTTCACAATGGGTTCCTGGTTGGTTCGCTCCCAGAGATCTTTGTTGCTGATCCTTTCCGGCCATCTGATCTTGAGTATTGAGCGAAGACATCTGTTAATGAAGGTCTGTAGCTTGTTTGAGGTGCTCTTTGTGACACGCCAAGTCTCTGATCCGTATAGTAGTACTGACTTCACATTGGAGTTGAAAATCCCGATCTTATTTTTGACGCTGAATGATGTTGTCCTCCACACAGACTTCAGAGTAATGAAAGCTTGCCTTGCTTTCCCGATCCTTGCTTTGATATCCTCGCTTTCTTTGCCATAGTCCACACGTACATTCAAATTTACAAATACAGTGGGATGTGACATCAATTTTCGCATGTTTGAAGGGCTTACACAGATATATTGGCTTTACATTCTCACTTATTATGATATCAGCTGCATAAAAAGTCTTTTTTACAGCAGCGTTCAGTCTTTGTCTAGTTAGGGATTCAGAGCATATTCCTAAATGGCTCCAGAAACAAACAGAATCTTCAGAACCCATTAGTGGTGAGAACAAGAGATCTAGCTCCTCTATTGCGAAACATATTACAGAGGAGACAGGACATAAAAATGATGTTAACACATCTTTTAAACCTATCTATAAAACGTGTTTGGGGCGTATCCTAAAGTGTGTGGAAGCTGTAGCAATTAGAAAGTTTAAACCACCTTTATGCGATCAAAGCAACAATTCGTCATCACACTAAACCCCCCTTGGTAAACTTTGTTTTCATACCAGCCAGGATAGATGTACTATTACCTCTGTTATTAGGTTTAGTGGTCTGCATTGTTATTTTGACCTTCAATTTAGTCCTTTTAACTTGAACTAAGTCTATTTTCTCACCTCTTAACTCACTCCTTATTAATTTCACACATATTCCTATGACAAGTCGGTGTGTGATCAGATTGTTCGAAATGTGTTGAGCAAATACATTACACGATTCAGACAAATTACGTCTTCTAATTGCTTTCTCTCTCTATATATATATATATATATACATATATATATATATATATATTAAGTAAACAATATTTCGATACGCTTGGTGACCACTTGGTTGGAAAGAGGTAATAAAATCGGGAGGTTTGTAGGAAATCGATTGGCCTAATAAATTTCATAAGAAAATTAACACCAAGCAGGAAAACACTAGAAGCTAAAGAGCATAGCATAGATTGGTGTTTCGTGTTAGAATTATTCACTTGCTACGAGGTTCAGTGTTTATCTTAGCGGCGTCAAATACACTGCCGTGATGACAACGATATCAAGTGTTAGGAAAGTTATTTATCATAGAGGAAGTGTGTGTTACTGAAAATGACATTGAAAGCTTTGCTAACACTATTTAACGCTTGAAAAGCATCAGAAGAACCAGGAAATTATCAATTACACCTAATCACTAGATACTAATTTGAACTATAGCTAATGTAAGATATTTAGAAGGCGCAAGTTTTCGTGAATGTTAGGATATATATATATATATCAAAGATACTTGGATTCTTTTTCTATACAACCTATCTTTTAAACTATGAAGATATCAAAATCTGTGATGTTATTTGCCCATAGAAACACTACTCTTTATAACCACTGATGTCACGTTTTTCTCTTCTCAGTGTTCCTCTAGTTTTGACAATTTTTGATTTTGATGTAGTTGTGTTCTCTTAGCTGGATGGTTTATTTGCGAAGCTTTCATTGCTTTACTTACTTGGCAACATCTTCAGCGCATACTTCAATTTGTTGAAGTGAGCTTTTAGATTTCTCTAGGAGTTTACTAGTCATCTCCCGTGGTGGGTGACGTTGGATGTGATTGGTTGTGTTTCGTGTGTTTTCACACCCTCTAGGCTACTTCTATTGCTATTGGTGCTGATTGTTTCCTTGTTCTGAAAGCTTCGCAAACGCACCATCCAGCTCAGAGAAAACAACTACATCAAAATCATCCACCTGAGCTATAAATCTTCTCCATCATATCTAGTTTTGACAATGTTGAATATGATTTTTGAAAAAGAAAAAAGAAGCCTTACGGATTTATAAGCTTACAGGTGTAATTATTGAATGCAAAGTATGCAAATGAAACAAAATAGTGTTAGTAAATTCGTCAAAAGATGATTCTAACCTTTTGCGACTTTCTCTCCAAATTTTTACAGACTTATCACATGTTTGACGATAGATTGTATCAAATAGACCACTATCATGAACCTGAAGATAAAAAGATAAACTAGAAGGGAAAAGATTTTAAAAAATACCTACCACTTCTTTATGGATACGCATTGCCTTTTGATGCGATGTAAATGAACATCCTTCAACAGGGCACTGAATAAATAAATAAATAAATTCACAAGGATAACAATTTACTTCAATATGACCATCTAAATGCTTTTTGTATTCTTCTTCAGTGTAGAAAGCAATATCACAGCATACCTCCACAGGTTTGTAATAATCATGATCTTCTGCTTCAAAACCCATACCATATAAGCCTCCATTTCTTCGCCTTCTCCTACGTCTACCAACATCTGTGAACAGTTTGGTTTGATCCAGTTCTTCAAGAGCTGTTTCTAATTCACTAAGTTTTTCAGATGCACTCCATAGTAGATCAAACGGTGGAAGTTCCATTGTAAATTATGTGACAGGAAATGTTATTCTAGAAAGAGGATAATATCAATTAAAACAGTGCATAATATAATAATAACAACAGAAATGATAAAATAAAGCCATATAATGTTATAGATGTTCTGAAACAATAACGAAGTGCCAAACTGCAACTTTACGAAATTTCGCATTTAGTCATAGTATAAGCTGTTTATAGAAATAGGTTATGTAAAATATCTAATAAGCATATCGAACCAACTAGTAACGCTGGTTACCTGTAAGTTAGAGAAACAGTCTGCACTAATATTTCTGATATGTATATTTTTTTACCTGAAAAATATTGCTTTACAAGAAATCGGATAGGCTGTATGCCAACATATCAACCTTCTTTATTCACCAGAACGAGAAGTCATGCAACTGCAATTGATACGTATGAAGAGAAACATACGCGACAGAACCAGGCAGGCTTTAGACCAGGAAGAGGATATATTGATCACACATTTGTCCTTCGACAGATTCCGGAACATCGGCATTTTACTTACCGGCGTCTAACAATTGTCATATTTATTTTATTTTTGATTTCAGCTTGATGCCACACCGTATTTTCAGTACAAGTATGGAATTTTCAGCATGGATATCGGTAGCCCAAATTTTGCAGGCCGGCCATAGATATCGGGTGTGCGTCGGCAGGCGATCGAACTTCGGACCATGTGCATAGTCGGCGAGAGTCCTAACCACTGTGCCACCGACGCATATTTCTTGACTTGAAAGCGGTATTCGATTCCGTCGATCGAGAGGTACTATAGCGATGTTTGCCGGTGAATGGAATGTCGAGAAAGTGCATTGCACTGACCAAAGTACTCACTCTACCCGAACTCATGCAGTCAGTCAGGTGAGAGCCTACGGAGAGCTGTCATCTGAAGTGGTGACAACCAGCGGTGTGCGTCTGAGATGCTCGCCATCACTGTCCCCATTCGTGTTTAATTTTATCATAGATGTACTAATGGACTTAACACTAACTGAAGTGAGTGACTCAGGGGTTGACTTATTACCACGGAATAATCTAACTGACTTAGAATATGAGGATGATATAGTCCTTCTAGGTGAAGACGCTGAAAAAATGCAGAGTCACCTTGAGGAGCAGCAATCTTCGAATGTTTGGCATGCGATTCGCTCCTGCTGTCAAATGTAAGATGATGCTACACGACTGAACTACATCGACTATTCCTAGCTTAAAGATAGGGAGTGAAGTGGTAGAGCGTGCTGACCACTAACTTCACTTATTTGGGAAGTTGCATCAGCCAGCCCCAATGGGTTGATAACTGACGAAATCTCAGCACGGATACAGAAGGCTCGTTTGGCATATGCCTGCCAACTTACGCCATCTCTGGCTTGGTAGACATGATATCCAACTGTCAGCCAAAGGACGTGTATACTGCTCAGAAGTTCGCTCTGTCCTCTTTTATGGCCGCGAGAAATAACCATTGAAATTGAAAGACATGAAAAGCCTGGCTGGCTGTCTTTGATCATTAGTGTCTGCGTTCTATCTCCCGTGTCGGGTGGCACAATAGGGTGAGTAATATTGAGGTTAGGCATCTAGTGTTAGGTAAGGAGGGGAAGTGAGTTGATGAGGTTGTGAAGTTACATAGCTCTCAATGGCGCAGATGCACTCACTGTGTGTGACTTGCCTATTGTTCTTCCATATTACTATTCTTTTTCCCTCCCTCACACTTCTGTTTACATCTCTCTTTTGAATTCCTCTTTACTTTCTTCTCTTGGTTTGTGTGCTACAAGAAGGGAGTATAGCAAGTTGAACTGCTGCACCTCTGTGCAAAGTTCTATGTTGAAATTAGTCAGCCAGTCAAGGATACATTCATACACTCCAAAGATATGTCATAGTCTAAATAACACAAAGTTGTCATGAGAATTAGTTCTGAGTTGATCCCAGATTACATTTTTATGGGTCAATTTAGACATACTGAGAAAACTGAAGTTGAGAAAACAAATCGATGATAAAATTCTTGCCTGTAATAATCCTATACAAGATACTAACCTTTAAATTCAATACATCTTATCTCACAAGAGAATTTATGGTAAAGAAGGAAAAATGCCAAGTTTCAAGAAATTAATCTTACTTAATATTCTCAAGGTATTAAAATTCTAGGGTACATGGAAAAAAATTACTCAACCATTTTAAAAGCTTTTCTTTTACTGATTTATGTAAATATTTTCGTCTGGCATAAACTTATATTCAAAACCGTCAGAGTTAAGTCTACAATTGAGGAAAGCTAATATGCAATTGCTTATCTACACCGATTTATTGATAAGCATGGAGGGACATAGAATAAATACGCGTTGTGTAGAAACAATTTTAAAACATTTTGCTTAAAAGCAACATCAAGTGCCTCTCATTGCTATGCGGCAGTGACCACGTAGCCAATACTTTCTTTTATTCCTTTACGTTCCCAGTGGAACAAGGGCTTCAAATTAGAGCTCTGAAGTTTCGGTTGCAGTGGTGTTTATTTTTGCGGGATGGGGTTGCTAACCTCGTGCCCAACCATCCTTCTTTACCAACCTTATTACTGGTTTAGCGAGGTAAATCAGTGCGTCGGCCGGGGGTCGAACCCCGAACCACCGGCGTCGTTCGCGAGATTTCTACCACTATGCCATCGACGCTTAAGACTTATGACTTCGTATAAAGGTCAACAACTTTTCATCCAAACGTCTAAAGTGATATATTAGCAATCAGGAATACAGAATCCCTAAGTGACTGATCAGTTATCATGATTAGCACAGTCAAGGAAGCTAGTCTAAGATTTAGGAACGCATCACCTGTATTACTTTCGTATACTTCTTGACAGACACTGCATAAATCCTCTTGGATACATAGTGAAATAAGGTTACTGAGAAAGGAGTGAGTAGTTTCGGATAGAAACATCATGATAATTGGAACCTTTGTAAGTGTATGATTAACAAAATTTATCTACATGAGAGACAGTGCAGAATTGACCACATAGTACCAAAACATTATACCCATATACAAAAAGTAAAACAAGTGAACAGTGGTACACCTCCACTTATAAACAATATAGGTGAGGTGAGTGAAGCAGATGGAGTGAAGGGCCTAAAACCTTTCCAAATATTTTTCTGATATTTTTGCGTCAGAGAGAAACACCTAAGAGTTTAGCAAAGTCGCTGCAAACACCAGGAAAACATCCCTCATTATAGCAGACGATGCAGTGTTTGGAAACATTCATTCCCTGACTAAAAATTGAAAATAAGTAACAGATGTTAGTTAGTAAAGCAGGATTTAACGAATTCACCAAATTTCGGCACAGCTCTTCAGTTGAATACCCCGCACGCAGTAATATATATATATGATCTGAAATTCACTAGGATATATATGACTGGTAAGCAAATAAACTGCATTGAATCAGTAATGCAGATAGTCAGTTGTGAATGTCCTTTAGAACATGTTTAGATAAATAATGGGAAAGGGGTACGAGAGAATAATGCATTACGGCTCTGTTACATCACTTAAAGAATTAGTTATCAAAGAAAGAACTTGAGAATATTAAGGATTACAACTTGAGTAAAGTTAAGATAATGGTACTGACAAAGAGTAATTTTAAATGAATCAAGAATAATAATGAGTGACAGGATAAAATATTAATAATAACAACAGCTTATAAGTAAAGGAGTGAGTCGGTGGTACAGAGGTTAGGATGCTCGCCGACTATGCACATGGTCCGGGGTTCGATCCCCAGCCGACGCACTCCTTCACCTCGCTAAGCCAGTAATAAGACTGGTGAAGAGGAAAGGTTGGGCATGAGGCCAGCAACCCCATCCCGTAAAAATAAACTCTGCTACAGAAACTTCAAGCCTCTAGCCTGAAGCCCTATGTTCCACTGGGAACGTGAAGGAATAATAAATAAATAAATAAAGGATATTAATATGCTGGATTCAAAGAGATCACCGGTTTTCTTTTTCTGTATATAGAGAATGGGTTTTCAAACTTTAATTGTACAAGTCATCACGAATGCATTTATCTTTCTGTTTGTTTGTCTGTTGACAGTAATGAACTACTTGACAATGTTAATATCATATCTCAAGCCCATAAAATGCTTTGGCAGATAAACAGCATGAATTTAAACCAATACGATTTCGTCTAACAAAACTTATTGTAGGCAAGGGAAAACTGGACATAAGACAGGTATGACAACTTACCCATTGATGTTTCTATCAATTCTGATAAGGCATTCGATAAGGTAGCCTACATACCGAGTTCCAAAAAAAAACTGACTATATGATTGTTTTAGGAGCAACCTAATGGGTAGAAAGCAAAAGGTAACTAGTGTATTCTCAGAGTGGTAACCTGCACAGAGTGGGAAGCAACAGGGTATTACAGTAACTTGCCTGTTACTGTCCCTAATGTACATTAATGAAAATCCTTAACACATCATTATTTTCGGGCGGTATTAAAACATGAATTCTAAGTATTAGTGATGACAGATTAGGCTTACAAGGTGAATTAAATAAATTGACTAAATGATCTTTTCGATCGAGTTTGGAAATCAGCTCCGGAAAATGTGCTACAGTGCACCTAGGCAAGGGGCCTTACACGAAGTACTTTCTGGAGTAAAAAAACTGTCTGATTTTAAGGAACAGAAGAATTTAAGTATGATTGTCGATCATCACTTAAAAAGCTTCAAAGGGCCTATAAATACTTAAATCAGAATATGTTTAAGGTACGCCACTCGTCACGTTGGATCTTCTCCTGAGAACGGTACACAGACAGCTAGTCTGTGCTTCAAGAAGGCAAAAGCCTTGGGAAGAGTACAAAGAATAGGCACTAAGCTGTTCAGCGGTATCTGGTACCTTTCTTACTGGAAGAAATTAGAACATCTAAAACCCTTTTTGTTACAATACCGAAGGAACAAAGTTGACTTAGTGTTGCTGATCACACATCAAAGGATGATTCGGTTATTGACCCTAGAGCGAATTCAGATTCTCACATAGAGTGTTCAATGACTGGAACTTTTTGCATGGTCAAATGGTATTAGCCCCATCTGCAAGTGTTATCATAAAGAAATTTGGTGTCCACGATATAAAAGCCAGTTGTAATTTATCCCTGAGTCTCCAGATTTCAACTTTAAAATCAAGAAAAATGTCAACCTAGCTGACTGCAAATCCAAAGACTCACCATACAAGAAGTACTAATTTCGTCTTGTTGTGATGTAAACCGATTATGTTGTTGTGGGTGTGCTTTCTAGGCTACATCCGTGTATTTATGTCATATAACACGTACACGATACACCAAATTAATGGGAAATAGGCGGAAACTTCGGTCATATTCCTAAGTATATTCCAGAGAATTTCATTGTCAATTTTTAGGCAATATGAGGCAGTAAGAAGTACGTCTCTGGATGAAAATTCCACCACACATAATTCCACTTTCTGTCTCATACCTACTAGGTAGGACATAGCACGTGGCCTTCTAATCAGTCTGTGATGGGTGCCTGGCTATCCAGCCTGTCAAAGATGTTTGAAAAATGGCAATTGCTGAATAAGCCCTCCCGCATCCGCAGTGAGAATGCATTACCCAACACTTTGTCAGGGTTACTAAAATCACGAAATACTTGGTAGTCCAGTCAATGAACCATGTCCTTACTCATCTTTACATAAGTACCTAGTCGGAGAACGCACATGGGAAAAGTGGGCAAGACGTGGGATAAATAGACAATTTTGATCGACAGAGACGTGGGCATAAAGTGGATATAATGAAACATAGAATGCCCACTTTCCCCATACTTCTCACTGTTAAGCCTCTTTTCCCATGTTCTTTAAAATTTTCACACCCCACTATTCCCAGGTCTAGAAAGAAAAAACTACCCAGTTTACTCATGTGTTTCGGACGCTTAATAAATGTGGGGAAACCTTAAAAATAGGATTTTCAGATGAAGTAATGCCTCTCGTGCTGATATCAAGCTAAAAAGATTGCCCCTCAGCGACGAATTAAGTCTTTTTTCTGAAGTAATGCCAGTCATTGCTGAAACTGGACTGAGAGGGCTGAAACACCGATGATTAGCAAACCGAGTAGGTTTTGAACTACTTCTGAAAATGCCTAGAAAAAGCACAGGGTGCTGAATTAGTGCCAATCGTGCTGAAAACCATCACTGACTTCTAGTTTCTACGCATAGTCCAATCATTTCAGCTAACAATAACAGATACACTCCAAAGTCAAGTGGACTTGAGTCAACCAATAAGATGGCTAGATATTACACATGGATGTTGTTCATAATCTTCGGTGCAAGTTTCACCCAGATATTTTAATACCAATAATACAACGATTAGTCGTCCTAGGTACTGCCATGCATACACCCAAGTGGAAAGGTTATTTGCAGCTATCATGATTAGACTATGATCATCGTAAAGTTAATCATACTTCTGAATTATTAGGTCCTATGAGTAGAACAAATTCCATTGAAGGATTCTGGACCCATCTAAAAAAAGTATAATAATGGTAAATGGTCCACGAAATGATACGAACAAGAGTAAACAATAGACACCAAATTCAAATGACCGTGATTTGACCAATTAGGTAGCTCAGAATTTACTCATCATAGAATATTAGATTTAGTTCAGAATTAGCGAGATTTAATTCAGCATTATAGTAAGCTTGGGCATTTAAATTTCCGACATCAAAACATATTTCTCCATCAGAAAAATAAGTAATTTATTACAGCATTACTGGTAATAGCGATATGCCATAATTCGCTGCGTACACACAGCATTACCAGGCCCCTATGTACAGAATATGCTTAAACAGAATCAAAAACCAGTGCTTATAGTTGAGAAGGTAAAGTCACACATCCAGATATGTATGAGTGATACGTTAATGCCAACTCACCTTCTAAGAAACGCCTCTCAATATGTATCGCATGAAGTTTAACCTTACTATTGTAAAGCCGGCAAGGTTACTGTAGTGCACTAAGGCACCAACAAACAATTTTCCATCACGAAGTGATGTAAACTCAAATAATTATCGGAGGTTTCATTTTGTTCATGACGGGTGGCTCGTGATCCCTATTGAATTACAGTGTTTCTGGTGTCATACATAGGTTGTAACTCTATTACATGATGATAGATTTCAGATCTTATCTATGCTGGCCAGTATCTTTTCTGAATGAAATATTATGAGATAAAAGAATGAGTGCAGGGCCTTTATTTTTCAACCTAGGGAGATATATGGAGAGTGGCAAATTGATAAATCACGCAGCTATCCAAAAACAATTGCTTGTATATCAAGGTAAGAGGAGAGATTTTGACTTAATTATGACCAGATAAAGTGTGAATGATGATGTTTTGGCTGTGGATCAATCTGTTTTAGATTGTTTTGATAGCATCCCCTGCTATTTTGGAAGTGTTGGCTATGAGTTCTGTATACTCAGGCCTGTTAATGTTCAACTTCTTATATCACTGGTAATAGTTGAGTAAGGGCCGAATCGTTTACCAGTGCGGTTTAACATATCCGTGAGTCTTTTTAGGCTTGCAAAAGTTCAAAAGTATGCCATCTGCAGTCCTATTTTCAAAACAGGACTTGGAAATTCACCTGATAACTGCTGTCTTGTTAGTGTAACAAATACTGTTGTTAACATACCAGACAGAACCATTCATGATCCTATTGTTCAGCACATCGAAAATTACAGGCCACTTTCCAGAGGCGGCTTGTTTGTAGAGCACATCGTCTTTCCTAGACCAAGTTTATTTTTACAAGGGCTGCAAGAGGCCAGTACAGCTTATTCTAATATTTCGTCGGATACAACACTAGTTCTTCTTAAATTGACATTTTTTGTTAATGCGAAGTCAATATCTCTATATTTCTTGGTGTGTTCCATTGAATCACCAGTTATCAGATTTCTCCCACAAAATAAAGATAAAATGACAGCAACCATGTTATTAACCGTAATCCATGTAATCTAAATATTTAACTTAAATAATTCTTATCCATTCCTATACAACTTTTGTGTCCTATATTTGTATGAATAAATATGTACCCTATTATATTATCATCACTAACTATACTTACTAATCGTATGTGTAATTTATCGAATTGATGATGCCTGTAAACTGGCGTCCCTCACGTAAAAAAATGAGAATATACTATTATTATTATTATTTGATATGGTTTCTTTTCAAGCAGAATAGTAAAAAACTTGATTCAGGATTTCCTCGGGGACAGAAGACACACAGTGATTGTCTTAGGAGTTTCGCCATCATGACAATGAGTGAAAAAGCGATTCCCAATAAAAATTCTAAGACCTGCTCCACTTCGCCATGCTTAAATGGGACACCGCCCACGCGTTATTCATATTGCCTAGTGTTTACCGATTATGTTATGTTCCAGAAGCCAGAGTACATTGGTGACCGATGAGTCGCTTACCAAGACTGTTTAGATTAGTGTGCTGCATGGTGTAAATTTCATGCTTTTGAAATTAATACAACTGAGTGTTGTCATGTGATGCTCGTGATGGCAGAATAAAAGCATTCAGGTCACATTTTTGTTATTTGTGATATGCAATATCACCTTAATCAGTTGCTTCAGGTATTTAAAAATATTACATGGTAACAAATTTCACTCCATAAATAGAAAATGTTTTGAAGATAAAAATCGTCAATCCAATAAAATCTCAGCCATTTCACTTTCAACGATCAGTTTGTTTGCGTGTGTTGATTAGATTACATTTTGGACGACTACATTTTCAAAGGGCGCCAAGTTGGGTGAGCCAGGCTAAGGCGTCAGCAGGCAGTGTGACCGAAGTTAAGGTCTAGCGGGATAGATGACGGCACAGCAATCGAGAGTGTTATTTGTATTTGAAGCCCACCGGAAACGAGTCCGAAGTCTTCCAAGTAGAGCAGTTGACTCGTTTCCGAGAACAATTGAGGCCAATGGAACTTACTTGCTTTAGGTCACCACTGAATGCTTAACACACTACGCAAGCATGTTTCCTGATACCACACTCATGACAGCGATAGTCCTTTAGGCCAGCTCAAATTTATTGGGTTAAAGTATGCAGGCTGACAGCATCAAAGCCCTGCTCAAAAAGGAAAGAAGCACTAACACAAACCACCTAGGTTTCGACTCATTTTGGTTTTTAACAGTATTTATCCCATGACTATCATAAGTTTCAGTCCAGCATATATTTTGTATTGGCACTTGACATTTTTATGTCATAATTTTTACTCTCTTGATGCATTTGGTAAGCTATTTCGAATCTTATTACCCTACTTTTGCCAAAAATGGACCATTTCCTGAAACACGCCAAATTGTTTGCATATGTTGCCACATGCTTACTTGGAAAAGTGTATTGCATTTATGCAACGACGGTTGATTTTAGCCTCAACTTAACATCGGCGAGTTAGTTAACACCAAAGAAACATTCACGAAGAGGCCATATTTTCACTGTATGTTACTAAATATGTGAGGTGCTCTCGATTATTGTAGCTAGTTTCATTACGTTGCTAGTCCTGTATTAATCACAGCTGATGAAGTCATTCGCTATTTGTAAAACTGCATCAGTCTGAATTTAAGACATTCTCTAAGATACCGTAATAATTACCTCATTATTATCATTAATCGTGCCATTGTCAGGGGACTTATACAGCGAAAAACTTATTTTTCGCTTACTGGAATTTTCGCATGTGTGCCAGAAGCCGTGTACTAGCTCTAAATCTCATTAGGAAAATGGTTGTACCTGCCTGTGAGCATGAAAAACCTATCACTGTCAGCCGTGGAGTCATGAGTGATGAATAGAATGACATGATAAAGAGATTGAACAATGTCTAAATGGTTTATTTTTGGCTTGAATTTTCAAGGGATTTCATGGCCATACAAGCAATTATATATTCATTTGACTCAAATTCCTGAAGATTAGTTAAATAATGTATTCTCACTTTATGTACATTAAGGGCCCATGTTTACAGGAATCATCAATATGATAAGTAATATACACATGGAGTAAGCACATTTACAGTTTTCACTCACACAAGATATAGATACAAGGAAAGGTAGTGGAATAATGTCAGTGAGCATAGGTAAACATAGGCAAACAATTTACATGATACAATCCTAGGCGCCACTATTGTTTGAGTTTTTCAAATACACGTGTAACAGCTGAAGGCTGAGTTACTTGTGGTCCACAAGGCGGGCTATTCACAAAAGTATAATATTGGCTTTTAAAACATTAGTTAGTTTACCGACGATAATGTTTTCAGCAATATCATCTGCAAGAGGCTCACCACAGTAGTTAGTATCCAGTTGAATATGCAAAGAAGCGCTAATGAATCACCATAATCCGCATTCGGTGGATTTTTTAATTCATTTCGGTCAAGAATCAGAATGACTGCGAACTCATCCATACGAAATGATGAATGGAGTATGCAGGAGCAGAATATTACCATCGAATGAGTCAGTGAGATTCGAAACACACCTATCAGCATATTTTCATTACTTTTTAGATATCTTGGTCAATTGGCGCTGTATGGGTTGTGATTTGGATTTGTCGGCATGATCAACATATGGATGAATATCCAGATGTGCACTACAGCATGTTTACCTCGCGGAATTAATGAATTCCATTTCGTGTAGGGTTTGATTAATCTACGATTTTGATACATTCTGCAAAGTATTGGTGTGTTCATGAGAATTATACTGATGCTTTGAATGCATCATTTCCTGGACTCCTACGACCACTGAGTATATACTCGATATTGAGCGGGTTAAAGAATTTGAGTCGTACCAACGGGAATTGTGTATTGTATTGCGTCTCATATTGCAACTTTAAACATTAAAACTATATTTTAAGTATCATTTTTCATTTTGTGCCAATTAGACTGTTTGTGGTTCATTGGACTGTTGTACATTTTTTGTCTGAATGTGTGTTTTTGTCAAATGCGAGTCATTTTGTGTTCGGCAATTGTTTTCTCGGTGTTTGGACGCCGGATAGCCTCATACTTGTAGGTCCTGACATCTTCATATTACTGCTTAAAATGTTTACAATGTCCTTAGAAACCCTAACCTACTCGAAAAGATGGAAAACAACATTCATTATGCCTAAACACAAATGTGACTGGAAAAAAGGGAGTCGACAACTACAGGCCAATCGATATCACACCTATCATATTTTTTAGAGTACAGCTTGATTCCACACAGCACTTTTTGGTAGAAGTATGGAATTTTCAGCATTTGATATCGGTAGCCCAAATTTTGCAGGCCGACCATTGATATCGGGTGTGCGTCGGCAGGGGATCGAACCCCAGACCATGTGCATGGTCGGCAAGAGTCCTAACCACTGTGCCACCGACGCAAAAAATAAAGGGATGATCCGAAGACCTGCCCACTAGCAAAAACTGCTCGTCCGAGCTAGCCCGATTAGGGATCGGCTTCAGCACGCCGAAGTGCAAAGGCGAGCCTCCACCTACGGCCGGGGCATTCGTGATCACTCTGGGCCCGGCGCCAAGTAAGTTAGTGATGTTGCCTGTAAACTGGCATCCCTCACATACACAAAGTGAGAATATATATTATTAATTTTGCAGCCCCTAGAATTATGTAGAGACCAATTAAAGATATTGTCATGTATGTGACGCTTTGGCGTTTGAACTATGAGCACTGGTTTCGAGAATCGGTAGTACAGTCATCACTCACTGCGGAATGCGGGTACATCCGGATGACGAATCTCAAATATGACGAAACTCGCATCCTGGACTCCACTGCTAGTCACCAGCCACCAACTGACTTCTTTTTTAGTGTTGTTACATAAAAGCGACCAATAATCTTAACTGCCAAAATTACTTTCATTATTTTAAAACTTTTTATGTTTGTGGTCTTACTGTCACTGCTAATACCAAACAAGAACTGTCAATAAAATCCCGTAATATTATCTTCATAACTATTTTAATATAATTTCGATAAAATTAGACACAATATTGTTCCAAATGCTGAAAATTGCACACCGCAACATTAGTACTGTTTTGGAATAAAGCAAATTATTGTGATTCCTGACTG